GCACTGAAACTGCCTTGCTGAAGGTCTTTAATGACATTTTCAGATTCACAGATACCTGTGATTCTTTGCTGCTTGTCCTGTTGGACCTCACAGCCGCCTTTGACACCATCGACCATGAGATCCTCATTGCTAGGTTGGAGCAGTGGGTGGGCGTCACAGGATCAGCCCTCAATTGGTTCAGATCTTACCTCGCTGACAGATCCTTTTGTGTCTCCATCAAGGATTTTAGTTCTGCAGAGGCAGAGCTTAAGTGGGGGGTTCCACAGGGGTCCATCCTGGGTCCCCTCATATTTTCTTTATACCTGCTGCCGCTTGGTGCTGTAATGGACTAGGCCTCCGACCAAAACCTGCCTCTGAGGACCTTCATGGGACAGGAACTGTTATTTCATTGATTTGAATCCAGAAATACAAATTAGCTCATCCAGAGACTGTCTAATTGTATCCTGAAGTAATCAATTGAAAGAACACTCTTCTTTTATATTTTCATTACTATTTTACAATATCTTGATAAATCAAAGTGTGTTTAGTTCATACCATTTTTAAATGTTGAAGTGAACCACTCATTTTAAATCAAATGTGAAACAGTATTAATGATTTTTTAATCCTCATTTAAATTAGAAATCAAGTTAAATGTCTATTTTACAAAGTAATTATGCATTTTGATCTTCTGTCTGAAATGAGAAGGAGTGATGGCGGTCAAAAGTAAGAGACAGTCAAAAACAAGTTGTTAGAACGGGCTGTCGTGATTTTAAAACTCTCAGACAGTAAATAAGAAACTGGCACCTGCAGTGTTTCTCACTTTGCCAAAACATTTCTCTGTCTGTTCCTAAAACATTCTTGCTGTTTTCTTGACTTGTAAAAACCCTCTGACATCACTAGAACCACACCCCTGTTGGTTGCTTCAACCAATCAGGACTTACTAAAGTGACCAGAAGCAGAACTCTTTAAAACTCGACACTTCCTGGAACTATAGTCTTCTGAGGTTCTGTGGAGTAATTCTGGAGTGAAGTTCTGTTCTTCAGCTCTAGCTGTTCTGGAGTTCTGGAGTTTTTCCACAGCTGAGTAGAACTTCGGACTCAGTTTTCCAGTCTGATGGAGTCATCCATCTCTGCTGTGGTCACGGCGCCTCGCTGTGACTATCACCAGGCGAATGCCCTACAACTTCTGAGAAAGTTTGTTCTGTTGAACGGAGTATCTCACGACTTCTGCCGAGTCGCAGCCGCCCTGAGGAGACGCTGAACGGCAGCGTGCCAGGGACCTCTTGACCATAGCGGACCCATCCTCTGCCAAGGTAAAGAGTCGTCACCAGCTTCACGCGAAGTGTACCGCGGGCGAACTGCGTTTGAAAGGAGCTTGTTGTTCTGGTCTACAGACATACATCTTCCTCCACATCTCCCTTTAAACTCCTCCATTTTTCCCATCTTTAAACTTCTATCCATCCATCCATCCATTATCTTTACCCGCTTATTCCATTTTGGGTCACGGGGGTCACTGGTGCCCATGTCCAGCAATCACTGTGCGAGGGGCGGGGTACACCCTGGACGGGTCGCAAGTCCATCACAGGGCCACATAGAGACAAACGAGACAAACAAACATTCACTCTCTCACTCACACCTAGGGACAATTTAGAGTTACCAATCAGCCTAACATGCATGTTTTTGGACTGTGGGAGGAAACCGGAGTACCCGGAGAAAACCCACGCATGCACAGAGAGAACATGCAAACTCCACCCAGAAACGCCCCTGGACCGGGGTTTGAACCAAGGACCTGCTCGCTGAGAGGCAGCAGCTCTTAAACTTCTATCTTGCCAGTAATTAATCCAGATGCCTTCAGAAATGTCTGTTGTTTTTATTAAGTAAAACGTGCCAAGTTTTATTAATCAGAACCAGATCAGTCTAATCAAATGTACAATGTTTTGATGTTAAATTTTGATTCTGTTAATAAATGACCACATTTATTTTGATGGGTGAAAGAAAATTAACGTCTCATGTCACTGATTAAACCATCTACGCACAGTTACTTCCGTCACATGGCTGTAATTAGCTCAAAAAAGAGAGAACTCGTTATTTGAAATATAATTGTAGTGAAGCTGCGAAGCTAACCTAGCCCTTAGAACACTACAGTGCTATTTTCCGGAAACACAACATGCCCTTCCACTTCTATGCCGATGACTGTCAAATTTACTTCCCCCTAAGACAGAATGGTACATGCTCTATTCAACCGCTGCTCAACTGCCTGGCTGACACCAGGGACTGGATGGCTTTAAATTTCTTGAGTTTCAATGAAAAGAAGTCTGAAGTCATGTTGTTCCCTCCCAACGACACGATCACAAACCACTGTATCGACCTCTCCACTCTAACCCTGTCAGAAAAACAAAGAGTCACTAATCTGGGTGTGATAATGGACCCTTCCCTGAAGCTTAACAATCATGTAAACATGTTTGTTAAATCATGTTTCTTCCAACTGAGGCGGCTGTCTATACTGAAGCCCATATTTTCCAAAAATAACCTGGAGACAGTAATACATGCATTCATTACATCTAGGCTTGATTACTGCAATTTGCTCCTGTTTCGTCAGAGCTCCATTGCACGACTACAACTGGTCCAGAATGTAGCAGCCCGATTTTTAACCAGTACAGGCAAAAGAGAGCACATTACACCAGTTTTGGCCTCACTGCACTGGTTACCGGTTCACTTTCGAATCCAGTTCAAAATACTCATGTATGTCTACAAATCACTGAACAGTTTCGCCCCCCCCATCTCTCTGATTTGCTACAACCGTATGTCCCACCACACTCCCTGAAGTCAGCGGACCAGTTGCTCCTCACAGTTCCAGGAACTCGTCTTAAGCGCAGAGGTGACGGGGCCTTCTCTGTAGCAGGACCAAGACTCTGGAACGAGTTACCTCTGCTTGTCAGACAGGCCCCCTCCCTCTCGGTTTTCAAGTCCCGTTTAAAAACTCACTACTATTCAGTAGCTTTCAACACCAGATGATCTGTGTTTTGATCCTGTACGCTCCACACTGGTTTGTCGTTATTATCTGCATCGTTTTTATATCTATATTCTGATTTATCTCATTTTGTATTTTGCTTTGTGTGTTACCTGTTGTTTTGTCTGTACAGCACTTTGGTTGGCTTTGTAGCTGTTTTAAGTGCTTTATAAATAAAGTGGTATGGTATGGATAAGGTAACATCAGCTCTCTAATATCTTCTACTTTTTTTATTCTTTTTCATGTGTCCTTTGTGTAAAGAAGGTAGTGTTCAACTATTTTCTTTTATTTCCTTCTTTTAAATAAAGATCTTTAATGCTTCCATCCATCCATTATCTTTACCGGTTTATTCCATTTTTTGGGTCACGGGGGCCGCTGGTGCCCAAGTTCACCAATCACTGTGTGAGGGGCGGGGTACACCCTGGACGGGTCGCAAGTCCATCACAGGGCCAAATACAGATGAACGAGACAAACAACCATTCACTTTCTCAGAACTGAGAGTTAGCAACATAATTTTTGTCTCAAGTAGACTCTCCTGGTACAACCATCAACATCAACGAGGACCCTCACCAGTATGCATACCGTAAGAACAGATCAACAGAAGATGCCATCTCCTCTGTTGTCCACACTGCGCTCAACCACCTGGAGCAGAAGAACTCTTACGTCTGTATGCTCTTTGTGGACTTCACATCCGCCTTCAACACCATGATCCCCCAAACCCTGATGGACAAACTATTCACACTAGGACTAAGCTCCTCCATTTGCAACTGGGTACTATACTTCTTAACAGACCACATTTAGTGAGGATCCACAACTTCTCCTCCTCCACCATAACCCTCAGCACTGGCTCTCCTCAAGGATGTGTGTTGATCCTTCTCCTGTTTACTTTGCTCACGTATGATTGAGCAGCTACCCATCCAGGCTGTCACATTGTAAAGTTTGCAGATGATACAGCGGTGGTGGGATGCATCACAAACAATAATGAGTCCAGCTACAGGCAAGAGGTGGAACACCTGGAGAGCAGGTGCAAAGAGAACAACCTTCACATCAATGTGATGAAGACAAAGGAGATGATTGTGGACTTCAGAAGGAACAAAAACACCTACACCCCCCTGAACATAAGATGATCTATGGTAGAAGTGGTCTCCAGCTACAAGTACTTGGGTGTACACATGAATGACAACCTCAGCTGGAGCAACAACAACACCAGCCTGATCAAGAAAGCTCATCAGAGACTCTACTTCCTCAGATGGCTGAGAAGAGCTGGTCTGGGAAGCTCAGTCCTCACCTCCTTCTACAGGTGTGCAGTGGAGAGCATCCTGTGCTCCAGCATCAACGTGTGGCATGGAGGCTGTACAGCTGCAGAAAGAAAAGCTTTGCAGAGAGTGGTGAAGGCTGCACAGAAGTCTGTCAGAGTCAGTCTCCCCACCATCACAGACATCTACACCTCTAGATGCAGGAAGAGGGCCACCTGCATCATGAAGGACCCCACTCACCCAGCACACACACTTTTTTTCCCCACTCCCCTCAGGAAGGAGGTTGAGGAGCATTAAGTGTAGAACCACTAGACAGAGGAACAGCTTCTACCCTGAGGCTGTTAGATTCATGAATCTCTAACCAGAATAATCACTGTGAAAAAAAATCACATCATGTTGCTGCTGATCTGTTTCATGTTGATGTGTTCATGCATGCTCATCTGCTCACACAGACTCATGTTCATATTTGTGCTGATGTTCGACGTAATGTTTTTATGTTATGAGTGCTTAGTGTATATTTAGTTGATGTTTTTCTTAGTTCATATTTTAGATGTTATCATTGTTTTTCTTTTACATTTTATTGTTGGATGTAACTGGGACCCTGTGTACATAATTTTGCTCCACTGCATGTATCACATGAGGTGCGATTGACAATAAAGAAACTCTGGCTCTGACTGACTCTGTCTTCCATTTTAGGTTAGATGTAAAGGTTGGCCTTTTGCAGCCCAAAAGCAAAGCACAGCGAATGAGCAGTACCTGTCTGCTGACAGTGTATGATGTCCAGAGGGGCATGGAGAGAGCTTCACTGTAGCCACTGATGTAGTCACTGTGGTGCAGGATGGTGTATTTGGTAGGATAAAGAACAGCAGGTCGACCAAACGGTAGATTCCTGCTGTCTGAGAGACAAAGACACGGAGGAACAGAGCACAGAGAGGCAGCAATGAAGAAACGTTTGTTTAAATTCAATTCAAACTTAGTAAATTTGACCTGTACGAGTGGAAATCACAAAAATAGCAGTTTGACTGAGGCAAATACCAGGGACTGTGAGCAAGTCTTCACTTCAACATGATCTATTCTGGTACTTAATTCAGTTCCAATAAAACACTCATGACTTTCTCTAGTTTAAATAAAAGAAAATCAATCCTGTATATCATAGTATATACTGGTATTTATTATAATAATTCAAGCCAGCAAAAAAACCCTAACGACTCATCACTAATGTTTTCATGGACATCACATCAAACTGACCATCATTTGCTTGCCTCAATCGCTGGTTTAGCTCCTCCACTTTGTTCTGTAAGAGACAGAGCCAGAGTGACTCCAGGTTATAGCCTCGTACAAGGGTCACTTTCAAACCTCTCTGGCCTCTATTTTTTACACGAAACTGCAAAAAGATTGGAGATTGAAACAACCACTTGCCAGAGATCTACATGAAAATCACAAACACAGCAGACATCAAATCAAACAGCACAGGACAGAGCTGGGTCAAAATCACTTTATTCTACCTGTCTGGCATCAAATCAAACTAAATCTTTCCTGTTTTACATGAGGGAGGATTCACACAATTATTTATTTTACTTAATTTTTATAATTTTATATCTTATATTTACTTTATTTTCTCTTTATATCATGATACTCTCACCTCTGTCTATGGACAGAATTTCTTGGTGCAGCTGGGGAGGGGGGGGGTCCTGTTTGTTGGCTTCAGGATTCCTTCTCTGATCTTTGCAGATGATGTATTCATGTTGGCGTCATCATGCCGTGTTTTTAAAAAAATGTTCCATACAAAAACAACTGGACTTTATTTGTAACAGAAGACGTTTCGCTCCTCATCCGAGGAGGTTTCTCAATTCAAAGAGCAGTGAGTGAGAGAGTCAGGTTATAAGGCTGACTGAGATAAGACACACACACATATGTAGATTGGCAATTCACACCTAAACACCTTAACAGTAAGAGTCTTTTGTTACTCTAATTCACAGACGAGGCCCCTCTGTTCCCATCAGGTGTGAAAACCGGCTGGGAATCTGTCTTAAAGTTGCATTATATGTTTTAGAAAGTGGAAATCTGAGGCCTCCTCCTCTGTTAAGAGACGGCTTTTCTCTTTTTACATAAATTGCTTCCTTCACCCCCCTCTCAAACCAGCTGTGTTCTCGGTCCAAAATGTGCACACTTTGGTCCTCAAAAGAGTGCCCCTTCTCTGTGAGGTGGAGGTGAACAGCAGAATCTTGTCCTGAGGAAGTAGCTCTCCTGTGTTGAGCCATGCATCTGTGAAGAGGCTGTTTAGTTTCTCCAATGTAGAGGTCTGGACAGTCCTCGCTACACTGGACCGCATGCACTAAACCACTCTGTTTGTGTATGGGTGTTTTGTCTTTAGGATGGACCAGCCTCTGTCTGAGAGTCCTGTTGGGTTTGAAATGTATTGGGATTGTAGTGAACCTGATCTGACCCTGATCTGACCCTGATGACCTCAAATCTATCAGATGGACAGGGACTGTTATTTTCATTGATCTGAATACAGTCTGAGCCATCTGGTGACTTTCTTTCTTGAATTAATCAAGCAGAAAAGACAATTCTCTATAATCATTACTGCTTTACAAATGTTTGATAATCAAATTGTGTTAGTTCCATTCAATGCTTACAGGTTGGAAAGAACTACTCATTTTTATTTTACATAAGCAGTAAGTAATGATTTTTATTCCTCATTCAAAGAAGAAATCAGGTTAATATGCATTTCTTGATTCTCTGTCTGAAATGAGCCAAGTAATGTAAGTATGTTAAAGGTCGGTTTTCGGTCAACTAAAATGTTTACTGAGAAGAAATGTCATGTTTTACTATTTGAGAAGATACAACAGCGTGAGACTCCACGAAGTCTGGTCGTCTGCAATAATCTTTTCTGTATGTTGAAAACAATCCTTGACTTATGATAACATCTTACATCATACACCACACCTCTATTCCTGGTCCATCGACCAATCAAAAGCTCTCAAATGAACCGGAAGTCGACCCATTTTAAATGTGGCAACTTCCCAGTTCATGTGAGAATTCAAGAAGCTGGAGAGCCTGAGGAGATGAAGAACTAGAGAGTTGCTGACAATTAAGAGTCTGAGAAGTTCTGAAGAATGAAAGGAGTTCATGGTTCTTGGGTGCAAATGCATTCAGGATGATCCAGAGACGTTTTGGGATTATAATTTCTGTTTGAAAACCACGTACGACTCTCTGAGGGTTTGGTAGTTCTCACGGAGACGCTGAAAAGAGTCAGAAAGGAACCTACGCCGACGCTGAGTTCATCATCAAGGTAGATGGTTCTATTTTCGACCAAGTGTACCGTGGGCAAGCTGATATCTGATGGAGCGTGCAATTTCTGGTCAAACAGATTAATTCCCTCACATATTTCTCTGTAAGATAAATCTCCATTTCATCTTAAAACTCTCCTCTTTCTCATAAAATCAGTACAGATATTTTAGAAATATCTGAAGCAAAGTCCTCGTTCACCGCCGAGTGATCGATGTCCCTTTTCTGTGAAACTTGTCTGTTATTATTTTCATATTTTGCCAAATTAATGTAAATGTTTGATGTTAAACTTTGATTCTGAAAATAAATGACCGCATTCATTTTGATGGGTCAAAGATAAATAACGTCTCTCGTTACATTTCTGTTAAATTCAATGCACGACATTACACAGCCAGAAAGATGAGGAACTCGTGAAAAAGTATGCATATATATCTCATATATTGTCATACTACAACTAGTGGCACGTACCTACGTGACTACTACAGGATCTTGTGTTTGTTGAAAATCCTTCTGAATTTCTCTGATACTCTAGCAACATAAGGGATGACAACGTTTTTCCATCTGTTGTTTTCCTTTTTCTGTTTATTAGTTTGTTTTGTAGATTTCCTCGCTGACTTGACAAAAGCCCAGTTAGGATATCTACATGTTTGGAGAGCTTCTGGGATGTGTTTCTTTTCCTTTTCTTTCCCTTCTGTCTTTGTGGGGACGCGTTCGGCCCGATGTTGTAAAGTTCTGATGACAGAGAGTTTGTGTTCCAGTGGATGGTGGGAATCAAACAGAAGATACTGGTCTGTGTGAGTTGGTTTTCTGTAAACTTCGATAACAACATCAAGTTCACCAGAGAGGATGCAAACGACAACAAGTTGCCTTTTTTGGACTATTTGGTTCAGATGGAAAGAGAGGACAGCCTCAACATTGAAGTTTACAGAAAACCAACCCACAACAAATCAAAACAGACGGAAAAAAACACAATATCCCAGTACATTTCAAACCCAGCAGGACTCTCAGACAGAGGCTGGTCCACCCTAAAGACAAAACACCCATACACAAACAGAGTGGTGTAGTGTATGCTGTCCAGTGCAGCGAGGACTGTCCAGACCTCTACAGTGGAGAAACTAAACAGCCTCTTCACAGACGCATGGCTCAACACAGGAGAGCTCTTCCTCAGTACAAGATTCTGCTGTTCACCTCCACCTCACAGAGAAGGAACACTCTTTTGAGGACCAAAATGTGCACATTTTGGACTGAGAACACAGATGGTTTGAGAGGGGGGTGAAGGAAGCAATTTATGTAAAAAGAGAAAAGCTGTCTCTTAACAGAGGAGGAGGCCTCAGATTTCCACTTTCTAAAACATATAATGCAACTTTAAGACAGATTCCCAGTTGGTTTTCACACCTGATGGGAACAGAGGGGCCTCGTCTGTGAATTAGAGTAACAAAAGACTCTTACTGTTAAGGTGTTTAGGTGTGAATTGCCAATCTGCATATGTAAATGGACTGTACTTATATAGCGCCTTTCTATCTGATCAAGATACTCAAAGCACTTTACACTACAATCTGTGTCCTCATTTACCCATTCATACAGCAGTCTACATCTCTACAAAGCTAATCGAACAAATCATTCTAATGAGACTAATCAGTGTTTTAGATCACATTCATACACTGATGGGTCACACATCAGAGGCTATGTGGGGTTCAGTGTCTTGCCCAGGGGCACTTCAGCATGTGACTGCTGGTATGTGTATGTATGTGTGTGTGTCTTATCTCAGTCAGCCTTATAACCTGAATCTCTCACTCACTGCTCTTTGAATTGAGAAAGCTCCTCGGATGAGGAGCGAAACGTCTTCTGTTAAAAATAAAGTCCAGTTGTTTTTGTATTGAACATTTTTTGAATTCATCATGTCCTGGATGACTGAGAATCTTCACCAGCATCATGCCGTGATCTTCAGCTCTCACTGGAGCAGTTTGCAGCCGAGTGTGAAGCGGCTGGGATGAGAATCAGCACCTCCAAATCTGAGGTCATGGTCCTCAGTTGGAAAAGGGTGGATCGTTCTCTTCAGGTCAAGGGTGAGATTCTGCCTCAAGTGAAGGACTTCAAGTATCTTGGGGTTTTGTTCACAGTGAGGGAAGAATGGAGCATGAGATTAACAGATGGACTGGTGCAGCTTCTGCAGTATTGCAGACTCTGTGCCGGTCTGTTGTGGTGAAAAGGGAGCTGAGCTGTAAGGTAAAGCTCTCTGTTTACTGGTCAGTCTATGTTCCTACCCACACCTATGGTCATGAAGTCTGGGTAGTGACTGAAAGAATGAGATCGTGGATACAGGTGGTTGTAATGAGTTTCCTCTGCAGGGTAGCTGGACTCTCCCTTAAAGACAGGGTGAGAAGTTCAGTTATCAGGAGAGACTCGGAGTATATCCGCTACTCCTCCACATCGAGAGGAGCCAGTTGATGTGGTTTGGGCATCTGGTAAGGATGCCCCCTGACTGCCTCCACAGGGAGATGCTTCAAGCATGGCAGACTGGGAGGAGACCTCAGAGAAGACGCAGAACACGCTGGAGAGACTACATATCTCTGTTGGTCTGGGAACGTCTTGAGGTCCTCCCAGAAGAGCTGGAAGAGGCTGTAGAGAGAGATGTCTGGACCTCCCTGCTCAAGCTGCTGCCCCTGAGACCAGACTCTGGAACAAGAGGAAGATGATGGATGGATGGATGGATGGATGGATGGATGGATGGATGGATGGATGGGTAGATGGGTGGGTGGATGGATGGGTGGATGGATGGATGTGTGGGTGGGTGTATAGGTAGATGGATGAGTGGCTGGATGGATGGGTGGGTGGATGGGTGGATGGAGGGATGGGTGGGTGGATGATGGATGGATGGATGGATGGATGGATGGATGGATGGATGGATGGGTGGGTGGATGGATGGGTGGATGAATGGATGGGTGGGTGGATGGAGGGATGGGTGGATGGAGGGATAGATGAGTGGATGGGTGGATGGTTGGATGCTCTCACCCTTGTATTTCACAGTTGGGATACTGTAAGATTCCTCATTTTCCTCCAGAGGTATGACATCTTGGTTGATTTCTTTTAATTTTCCCACGGTATCACAATAAGAAGCAGTGTGTCCAGTTAGCTCAAATGCTGTCAAAAGCCATGACATCATCATCATCTGGGCTCCCAAAAATTGTTTAAAGGAAAGGTCATCTTTGAATGTAAACCTTTGAGCTTGAATAAAGTAATCAAAGGAATCTTTAAAAATAATCTCTCATTATTCTTGCATTTAGCAAATAGAAATGAAGTGGGGGATCTTAACTGATGGGAAAGGTTTAGTCTGATTTCATGTCAGATGGTGAGACAAACTGATGTCTTTTGTTATGGTGTATGTAAAAATCTTGTTTCAACTGTACATTCTGGTTGCCTCTGAACAACATTTTTTTGTGAAATAAACTGATCTGACACCAGCTCTGCTGCAGAAAGCAACAATGCAACAAGGTTATTACAGCTCTATAGGAAGACACATCAAACAGACACATGGTCCAATAATCAGGGGCATGCATGCAATTACTTTACAACTCAGCTGTATATGAAGAACAACAACAAAACTGACAAACAAATAAATAAACAATAAAACTAGCATTCTTTGAAGAAATGCTCAATGCCCGCCATCTTTCATGCCAAAATTTTAAATATGTACGTGTGAATGATTCTCAGCTACAGTCACAACAAATGTTAGTTCAATCTGTAAACCTGACTGAGCTATCAACATTTTAGTGATTGTTAAGACTGATTAGTTGCGGTGACCATCTTGGATCAGGTTGACTTTTCAAGTCATTCCATCTCAAGATGGCCACCACAGTCACCTTACCTTAAAAGACACATGCATGGATTTATCTTGGTCAATTTTACAGATGTTGAGCTCAAATCTGGTGTGGTAGTAGCTGAGAGTCATTCCCAGTAAATTCTCCAAACACTACACATTGCATGATAGTCTGGCTTAAAACTTTGACCTTAATTGACACTATCAACAGTGTTTGTAAGTAAAATATCTCATGAATCGTTGAATTAACTTTATTGAATCTACCAGAAACTAACCACTGGATGTACTGTACATCTACAACTGACTAATGTTTGCAGTCAAACCAATTCAAGATGGCCACCACAGCTAACTAAACTTTGCCAAGGCAAAATGGCTATAACTTCTAAAAAATTATAGATAATGCAGCAAGCTTGATGAGGTAGTAGTGGAGTCATCTCCAACACATGTTTTAAATACTATCAAATATTGCGAGAACTCGTAATATCACATTAGATCGTGAAGATTCAGACTGTTAGCTGATTTTAGTTCAAAACTTCAGCATGAAAGGAGGCGGGTGATATGCATTCCTTTAAGTGAGCATTCTGTTATGCACACAAGGAGCAGAACAGAATGCTCAAGTCTAATGAAAATAAGGCTCTGTCCATATGGGAATGGTTTTAGTGAATACACAAATGTTTTGATTGTTTTATCCTTGCATCCACACAGAAAACGTTTTAGGAGCCTCTAAATTGTATTTTTCAAAACTGGAATCCAGAGTGAAAATATCTCGAAACACCACCTTTGCATTTTTTTTGTGGAGAGCCTAAAAGAACTGTTCGAAAAATGGAGATATCCTACTTCTAACCTAACCTACAATAGATTAGACTGGACAATAATATTTTCTTAAAGAGAGCAGAGTTAAAAAAAAACTTAATATTACATTAAATTTCTAAGGCCAAATTTCTTTTTACCACTGTACTAGACTGTCAATAAAACTGTACTAAAGAAATATAAGAAAGAAAAGCTTTGCAGAGAGTGGTGAAGGCTGCACAGAAGTCTGTTGGAGTCAGTCTCCCCACCATCACAGACATCTACACCTCCAGATGCAGGAAGAGGGCCACGTGCATCATGAAGGACCCCACTCACCCAGCACACACACTTTTTGCCCGCTCCCCTCAGGAAGGAGGTTGAGGAGCATTAAGTGTAGAACCACTACACTGAGGAACAGCTTCTACCCTGAGGCTGTTAAGACTCATGAATATCTAACCAAAATAATCACTGTGAAAAATCACATCATGTTGCTGCTGATCTGTTTCATGTTGTTGTGTTCATATGTGCTCATCTGCTCACACAGACTCATGTTCGTGCTGCTGTTCGGCATATTGTTTTTATGCTACTAGTGTTTAGAGTGGGTTTAGTTAACGTTTTTCTTAGTTCACATCTTAGCTCTTATTACTGTTTTTCTATTTACAATTTATTGTTGGATGTAACTTGGACACTGAACCTAATTTCGTTCCACCACATGTGGTGCACGAATGACAAATAAAGAAGCTCGGACTCTGATAAACAAAAATACAGGAAATAGGAATCATTTAAAAAGACAAACATATGTGAAGAATAAAATAGCCCATGTTTTGAACATTGCGAGAAATATCCATTTCCTCCAGCTGTCCTTTTTTGGATACTGTATTTAAAATTGTCTAATATGTCCACATATTGTATTTAGACTGACACAACTCCCAGTCAGCACTTGCTGCACTTTTGTGGTCTTCTACTATAATGTAACACATAGTAGTTCCACTTTGTTGACAGTTCACAAAAAGGACTTAAGCCTGGTTTATAGTCCATAAGAAGTGCCAAAGTTGTGTCTTGCTGACGTAGGTGCATGACGAAAATGTTGTATTTTTCTACTTGCACCCATCATTGAGACCTCGTCTTGTGCTTTGCCCCCAGCCAGGAGTAGTTGGCAGCACAACAGTTCAGTGGTTAGCACTGTTGCCACACAGCAAGAAGGTCCTGGGTTCAATCCCCGGTTGGACCTGGGGTCTTTCTGTCTCGCGTTTACATGTTCTTCTCGTGCTTGCGTGAGTTTTCCCTGGGTACTCCGGTTTCATCCCCCAGATTAAAAACATGCATGTTAGGCTGCATTCAGGCCCAGGCCTCACTTGAAAAACAGATCTGTGATCTCAATGGAATTTGCCTGATTAAATAAAGGTTAATAAATAAATAAATAAATAATAAAATAAGTTTCTTACAGGGTATGTACCAAGTATTGTGTGATCGGTCAGAACTTTGGGGGCGTGTTTGTTTATTAAAAGCTGCTACAGTCAGCTGAAGTTATTCGTGCTCTGCTGAGGAGCTGCTAGCCAAGGCGTTTGGAAAATACAGCCATCATATCATTGCAACTGTTCCAACAAAAATGATAAAGATAGTGAAATTAAACTTGTACAGATAGCCAAATAACTTGTGAAAAAAAGAATAGACAATTTTTGTGCATGGAGGACACAGCGAGGAGACATTTGAGCTCTTCATGGCTGCGCTAACCGAGAGAGTGTGCCTCCCCCGGGCAGTCATGGATGTGATGAATGAAAAGGAGTGCGCCTCAGTCAGGCCTGTCTGTGGGAAACAATGGCTATCTCATTGTGACAAATTTACAAACTAGCGCTTTTCCACGGTTAACAACAAGACACCAAATCTTCTTCCTCCAATTTCTCCATCATCAACTGAAAACAAGCATCCAGCCTGACAACCACAATTGTGTGACATGGGCTGCAGTGGGAGGGCATACATTCTATGGTTGCTACCCAGATTGTGAGCTTTATGTGAATTGAACATGTGTAAGGATGGTACTTTTCTGTGGCCCGGTTTGTGTCTGTTTCCCTCGTGCTCCCTCATTAGCTTCCATTGTTACCACCCGTGTCTCGTCCCAGCTGTCTACAATTATGTCTCGTCTTGTCTCTGTATATAAGCAGTCTGTTCTGTCTTGTTCTTCGTCGCGTCGTCTTCGTTGGGTCTCTGGTGTCTTCCCCTGAGTCTTCCTGGTTCCTCGAGTTCCCTGTGTCTCTTGTGTCTCCTGAGTTTCCCGTGCCTCCTTCCTATGCTCATGTAAGTTTTGCTGCCCCGTCAGCTTGTTGTTTTGTACTTTCATTTATCATTAAATTCCTATTTTTGTATTTCTGCCGGGTTGAGTCCCTGTCCTGCACTCTGGGTTCGCTCCTGACACAAATCCTAACAACATGTCTCGTTTCCTGTTTTTGGTGTGTTTTTGGCAGCTTAACATCGCCACACACAGGTCTGGTATAATTACTACAGCATTTTTTTTCGCCATGCGGATACAACCACTTCAAGAATTAATGTTATGTTTACAAGAATAGTTTTTAGAAATAACTAGTAAAAAGTTGGTTTTTGGGAAAGAAAACATCCCCATTTGGACTACGCCTTAAAAGTAATTAAAAAGAATTCAAGATCATCAACTTGGTGATAAGTCAACCTATGCTAACCTAAATGAAATATTTATCTCAGCTACATAGCAGAGTCTAGCAATAAGGCCTGCAGCGTGAACATAGCCTAATAAATGTGAGATGAGCTGACACAAACTAGCATGCTGTGCTCAAGTATAACACTGTTGTCATAGCTGACCTTTTCATCACAGATACATCCCAAGTCATTTGTTACCACAGGAACAAGGTTAGAGGCTGTTGGCCTGGAAACTTCCTCTGGCATGGTGGGTCGGAAGGGCGGGCTTCTCAGCAGGTGGTTCAAACTGCCATGGGTTCCATTGTTGGGGACCGGTTTGAGACCCAGCAAATCTGAAATTGGAACAAATCAGTATGAAGTCAGTTTATATTCATGTGAGACTGTTAACTACAGTATAAACTAAAATAGTAGTAGGAAAAAAATAACATTTACACTGAAGTAATTACACTTAATGAAACAATAGTACGGCACAATATAATCCCCGTGACAAATTATTTTACAATAAACTATACGAAAGGCCCAGACAAGCAAAGACCTTGTATAGCATTTGACCTTGATTTGTGACCTTGACCTTGAGTCACTGTGTAGTGGTGGTACAAATGTGTATCAAGTTTCATTAAATTATCTTGAGCAGATCAGAAGTTCTGGTCCAGAAAAGAGAAAGTTTATGTATGTATGTACAGGCAGGTAGAGACTATACCATAAAGAGTCCGTCTTTCGATGGGTGTATAACAGATAGTGTTGCATTTTTAAGGGCCCTGCATAATCCACCTGAAGAGCTGAAATCGTCTCTCATTAATGAAGTTGATGGATGAAAATTATGTCATTTTTTTTGCAAAGCAGCTTTGTCCGCCCCTTCTCAACACAAGGCCTTGGCCGAACTTCTTCTCAGAGGCGTATGCGCCAAGTACTTTGTGATTGGTCTGAAGCTTGTGGGCGTGTTTGTCAATGCAGAAATGCACTCGGACATTCAGCTGTAGGACTCTTCATACACCAAATTAGTCAAATGGTCAAAACCTCCTGGAATGAGATCATGCAGACATTGTGTATGGAGGAGTCTGTCTGCTGAAAAGTGTGGTGCTCTCTTCAGGATAGATTTGTGGGCAAACGGCAGATGCAGGGACAGAGTGGGGACTCTGGCAGGAAGAAACCTGTGCGGTGACGTATACTGTAGCGGGAGGGGTTTCCTAGGAGCTCTGCACCTGCATCTCTCAGACTATGAAATGTGTGTGAAAAACGAACATCCAGCAACCACAGGGCCGCAAGACGACTGTTCGGCTTTGGATGGAGTATGCTGGGCCCTTTACTCGAATAAAGATAAAAATAAATCTTACCACACATGACATTATAAAGCTCAATATTTTCAAATGCTGGAACTTTAGTCTTGAATTTAAATGTAGGTCCATAGCCCAAGAAAATAGTCTGGAAAAAAAGACACAGGTCAAATGATTTAAAATAATTAACTATTTTAATAATAATTTGTCTGTCCCTGGTGTTCATTTTGATATGAAACTATTGATGTTAAAGTCTTAGCTCTTCAAAGCATATTTAGCAAATATGACATTTTTGATTTAAATAAATTTGTAAATAATTGTAGCGTTATTTCATTTATTTCTGATGCTCTGTACCTGACCACTCATTTTAGTGCATGGTGTAAATAAAAAAGCAGCATCTCGAGTAGGATACCTGCATACTGTTGATCTTATTGTCGTACCCGTGGTCCCCTGAGAAGCCACAGTGCCTCCTACCCTCAGGAACTCTCCTGCAATGAAGATTGGATAAATAATTCAGTGGCTTCACTACTGATGTGTAACGTTATTGGGTCCAACACGAGTCCCTGTATCAGTAACAGCACCACAACATCAACACGCAAACTGTGCACAGATGAATATTTTACACGCTGAATATGGTGTGTGTGTGTGTTATGTTGGTCAAATGATACACAGGGACTAAGGTTAAAAAAATAAAATAAAATCAAGCCACAGTCCTCTACATGAAAGATACTTATCAGTAAATGCCCATCAACATATTGCTTCTTCCATCCATCCATTATCTTTTACCCACTTCTTCCATTTTTGGGTCATGGGGGTCCAGCAATCACTATGCGAGGGGCGAAGTACACCCTGGACAGGTCTCCAGTCCATCACAGGGACACATAGAGACAGACAACCATTCACTCTCTCACTCACCTAGGGACAATTTAGAGTTACCGATCAGTCTAACATGCATGTTTTTGGTCTGTGGGAGGAAACCAGAGTACCCGGAGAAAACCCACGCATGCACAGAGAGAACATGCACACTCCACCCAGAAAGGCCCCCAGACCAAGATTTGAACCGGGGACCTGCTTGCTGAGAGGCAGCAGCTCTATCAGTTGCACCACCATGCTGTCTACATACTGCTTCTTTTTAAATATTTTGATGGTTATCAGTCCTTACATGGGCATGCATGTGAAGCCAAAAACATGTTAAAAGCACTCACTGCCACACTATAAAGTAAAACGTAAAAAGATTTTCTTGAACTATTTCAAAAGATGCAGTTTAATAGAGTTTACTCATGTATTTTTCCAGCCATGCACTGATGTGTAGTTTTGTAATGAAGGTATACACTTAATGTAAACAAAGTATTCTTCTAAATCTTGTGGAAGATTACAGAGCACTTCATTCTCAGACTGCAGGTTTACTTGTGGTTCCTATAGAGTTTCCTTAAAGAAGAAAGGGAGGCAGATCTTTCAGTTATGTTGGGCGGTTGTGGCTGAGTGGTTAGAGCAGTCGTCCTCCAATGTAAGAGTTGGGGGTTCGAATACACCAGCTTTCACATGCCGAAGTGTTCCTGGGCAAGACACTGAACCCCTCATTGCCTCCGATGCGTGTCCCATCAGTGTATGCATGTGATCTTAAGCACTGATTAGTCTCATTAGAATGATTTGTTCAATTAGCTTTGTAGAGATCTTGTAGAGTGCTGTATGAATGGGTAAATGAGGACACAGATTGTGTTATAAAGCGCTTTGAGTATCTTAAAATAAGATAAAAAGGGGCTATATAAGTACAGTCCATTTACCACATTAAAAACGTTACTAGAACTGCCTTCTTCCACCTGCGTAATATCTCTAAAATTAGAAATATCTTATCTAAAAATGATGCCGAAAAACTGGTTCATGCATTTGTCACATCTAGACTGGACTATTGCAATGGTTTCACCAATGTCTGGGTGTCCAAATACTTCTTTAAAAAGTCTTCAGTAAATCCAAAAGGCTGCTGCCAGAATCTTAAATGGAGTTAGTAGGAGAGATCATATCTCTCCAGTTTTAGATTACCTCCATTGGCTCCCTGTCAAGTCCAGAATTTAATTCAAAATCTTACTTCTAACCTACAAAGATCTCAACAACCTAGCTCCATCTTATATTTGAGATGTTGTTGTTCCATATTTTCCCAACAGAGAACTTCACTCTCAGATTGCAGGTTATCTCACATTTCCTAGTTCCAAAAGCAGAATGGGAAGAAGATCTTTCAGTTATCAGGCTCCTCTCTTGTAGAAACAACTTCCAGTTTTTGTCCATAAGGCTAACACATAGTCCAGTTTTAAGACTGGGCTTAAGACTTTCCTTTTTGATAAATCTTATAGTTAGGATCGGCTCATCATGCTATCTTAAGCTTAGACTACTAGAGGACAAATTGACCTAATTTCCTTACATGAATTGTTGAATAGTTTTCTTTTTATTTGATACTTTTTATATCTTAACGTGTTCTATTTCATTGTGGGCTTGCCCATTAAGCCACGCCCACTTGTGGGTTAAACCCTGCGTGCAGCACGTCAATACTGAAAAACTCTAGTCCACGCCCACCCACTGTGTGGGCCCCACCTCTGTCCGTATAAATAGGCTACAGACCGTCGTTCTACTCCCCATTTTATTCAGCCAGTGAAGCAACACATGGAAAATAAAAAGAAAACCAAGAACAGTAAAAGATGTTAGTGGACGGGACATGTCCACTGCTCCGAACGGTGCAGTCTGTCATCTGCCTCGGAGCAGAACACGCATGTAGGCTCTTGTTTTTTCTTTCAGAGCTGGGCAGGTCTCGAATGTTTCTGCCTTTCATTTAAGGAGTTAGCGAGCTGCCTCACTCTCCCCCTCTCGGTTAGAGGGCTGGAGACAGGACTGCCGCCGACGGGTTGTTTTTCTCCCTTCCAGCGATTGGCATGGCTGTTCGTGTTCTGCCCGGCATATTCAGGAGTGACAAACGCTAGACCTAGCTCTGCCAGAACCAGTCCCGGCCTAGACTCGGTGGGAAATTTAGCTGCCTCACTCTCTGGTTGCCAGGACTCAGCTCGACCTCGTGTCTAGCATGTCCGTATAATGTCGGGTGCAACCTTCCAACTACTAAGATGAAGAACACTTGTTCGTCCTCTAGAGCCAAGCCTGTCAGCTGTTTTTTTCTGGGGTCAGAACGGCTCGGCATGCCGAGCGACAGCCGCCCACTCTCTTTTTTCCCCAATGACCAGCTCTTAGCTAGATTCACCTACGTTTTCAGTGCATGTCTCAGGAAAATGTAGTAGCCACATGCCTATGCTAACATTAGCACTCCATGCGGTGCTTACGCCATGATCGGGCGACGCGCAGCGCCTGCAGCTGCACCCCGCCTCCCCCCTCTTTTCTTAACTCCGGGTTCCACATAAGCAGCAGAACCCAGTCACACAGCTGCTTCTGCCAGACGAAGCTCCAAGGGCGTATCTAGGATAATTTCTTGGGGGGCAATGTTATTGGGAGTATGAATGAACTCCCAACATCCTTCTAAGAGCAGAGCCCTCTCACACTCGGGTCATACGACCCCGCTGTTTTTTTTATTTTCTCTCACGCATCCACCGGCACTGAGGGTAACGACAGTCCTTTAAACAAACTATTTAAAGGTGCCCTGTCCCACTGTATGTGTGTGTTATGGCAATGTTTTAGGGAGTTTGAATAAAATCCCAACATCATTCTAAGAGAAGATCCCTCTCAAAGTCAGGTCTTATGACACTGCTGTTTTTTTTTTCTCACACTCTACCTGCACAGAGCGTAACAACAGTCCTTTAAACAGACATTTTAAATGTGCCATGACCCAATGTATGTGTGTGTGATGGTAATGTTATTGGAAGTTTGGATAAAATTCCAAGATCATTCTAGGAGCAGAGTCCACTCACAGTCAGGTCGTACGACCCTGCTGTTTTTTTCTCTCACATTACCTGCACAGATGGTAACAGCAGTCCTTTAAACAGTCGTTTTAAAGGTGTCGTGACCCACTGTCTCCGCCTGCCAACTCCCCTGTCAATTGTTGGTCCCAGCAGTTCATCCTCAGATTTTATCATCAAATGGTATCCCGATTGAGTTTATTGATTCCTATTAATATTTGAGTATCTTGGTCGACTCGCATCTCTCTTTTAAGCTTCATGTGGAAAACTTGATAAAGAAACTGAAAGTTAAACTGGGTTTCTTTTTCAGAAACAGATCCTGTCTAACTCTGAATGCTAGGAAACGCCTTGTATCTGTGACTTTCCTTCCCTCCATTGATTATGGTGACATTCTTTTTTTTTTCCTCCCAGGCTCTGATCGAGGTGGCAGCTTCTGTTTTTTCCTCCCCCGTTTTTCCTTCTTCCTACACTGCTCTCTGTCTGTCTGACGCGCCTGGGTCTCATCTCCCGAACATAAATTAAGAAGATTATGGATTTGGTATCATGGGCGTTCAACTCTATTGATAAGATTTTTTCATCAAAGCGACAAGGTCCTGGAGAACCGGCGTGTCCAGCTGAGACTCACGCTGTGGGGTACGTCATGGATTCGTGGGGAGTGTGGCAGATGATGTGTCTCTCAATCCTGTATCAGGAGGATGTTGAAGATGTTTACATATTTGGAATTATGATAGAAGGGACTCTGCTTTTTGGCATCGGCGGGGCTCTGTTTTATCGACTTTTGAAGCAGACGGTGGCAGCAGTTTCGGCCATGGCAAAGCTTCCGAGTCAGTGTGAAGTTCTGGTCCACACTGTGGGAACTTTGAATTGTCTGGTTTACGAGCTTAACCGTAAGGTGAAGGCGATTGAGAATCGCAGACCACCTGCGGCTTCTGGGACTCGTCAGCATGGTGGGTTCGACCTTGAAGGAGACTCAGCATGGATCAGTGGAATGGAATCCCACAATTAGGCATTTTCAGAATCAGAACGCCCAGATGGACTCAAGGCTGGAAAAAAGTAATCTGTCTGCCTGAAGAAAAACAAGAATCAAGCTTATCTGAATCTGACTCCCGACGGCCTGGGAGACAGGCCGACTATCAAGTTTCTCCTGGGACATGAGTACCCAAGGACAAAAGCTTCATCTATCGCACCCACCCCCCACCCCCCACCCCAAGAACTTTCTGTGCAAGCTGATCAAAACTGCTGGCTGGAACAACATCATCAGAAACTGTGGCTGATCTGAAAAAAGGCTCATGGACAAATCTTAGCACCTTGATGTCAAATGCAAATGTAATCATGTTTTAATTGTGCTTGCTGGTAGAGTTTTTTTGATGTCTCAAATCGTCTCCTGATAGGGTGAAATATCTTTTTTTTGTAATACCACTATCTACCCTCATGTTTCTACCTCTTTTCCTATCTAAGATTATTATCTGATATGGATAAAATGGCCACGCTTTCTACAGTTGCAGCTTCGTGCACTCCGCCCATCTTTCGGACAACTGTACGTACATATTCGCGTTGTACCTGGGTGCAATTCCAATAAAGTTTATTCTGATTCTGAT